TAGAGACAGAGTTGCACCATGTTGGCCAGGCCGGTCTTGAACTCTTAACCTCAGGTGATCCACCCGCCTCGGCCTCCCAAAGTGCTGGGATCATAGGCGTGAACCACCAAGCCCAGCCAAGTTCAGGGCTTCTTGATGCTCCTATTAGAGCATCAAGCTTTTCTTGTAGTCCAGGGAAAACCGGCCTCTCCACCAGGCCTATGGATGGGAGGGTGGTGGGGCGGCACCCACTCCTACCTGGCCTTTTGGAATGCAGTGAGCATCTCTGGACTCTCCATGGGCCCCAGCCCCACCTGGGGACAGAGCCAGGCACGCCCACCTCACTTTGGGTCCGTCCCACCTGCCATTTTAAAATATAATTGCCTACGCAGGTGCCTGGCCCAGAGCACCTCAGCTTGGGAGTTACTCTGAGAGACCCTGTCCCCTCTGTCGGGGTCACTCTGGGAGGCCCTGTGCTGGCCCCTCTGGCAGTTGGGCCCTACTGGATGCAACAGCACCCTTGGGGAAGAAACATCAGCTGTTTCATGCTGGGGCTCAGAAAGGTTCACACACCTCCCTGCTTTCTCCCACTGCGGGCACTAGGTCCAGTCACCCCACCCCCGGTTTCAGCCTCCATCTCCTGATCTGTGAGGCCTCTTGGATGGAAGCATCTCCAAGCCCCTTCCAAGAGGACTATTCTAGGCAAAGCAAAGGTGCTAAACGGGGGACCAGCAATTTGAGTTTTTCTTGCATAACTGACTGGGTTGTCAGGGAGACTTACATACAAATGAAATGGATGGAGAAAAATAGTGAGGCGGCTTGTCGGCAGCTGTGTGGGGCCCGCGTAGGAGCAGGACAAGAGCGAGGCCCAGCCAAAGTGGGTGGGGAGGGTCTGGCCACCTGAGCTGAGGCTGTGTCCCTCCCGCCCCCGGCACAGGTATGTCCAGAGCCTCCTGGACATCATGGAGTTCCTGGACAAGGACCCCGAGGACCATCGCACCCTGAACCAGTGAGTGGAGGCCGTGGGTGGGGCAAGAAGGCAGGTATCCGCCAGGGGCGTCTGGGGTTGCAGCCCCTGGGTTTGGAGTACAGCAGGATGGAAGAAAAGACCCCTGTCTTCAGGAACATCCAGTCTGAGCGGGGAGACAGACTGCTTCAGGGAGCCCCAAGTTTGATGGGAGAGACATGGGCTTTATTCTCACTGTTCCCTGAGCCTGGTGGGCAAGACCCAGGCCCTGCCATGGGGAGGATGAGAACTCCAGCCTTTCAAGTGGGAAGCCTGCCAAGCAGGCAGCTGGGAGATCAGAGTGGGCTTTGGGAGGAGCAGGGAGGGCATCGATAGTCCATGGGATTGGGAACGGTAGAGAGAGTGAGGACACCATGGAGAGGGGTGTCAGAAGCCGAGGAGAGTCTGGGGGTGTCCCCATGTGAACACCTGCCCTGCCTTACAGGTTCACGGACGCCCTGGTCACCATCCGGAACCGGCACAATGACGTGGTACCCACCATGGCACAAGGTGTGCTTGAGTACAAGGACACTTACGGCGATGACCCCGTCTCCAACCAGAACATCCAGTACTTCCTGGACCGCTTCTACCTCAGCCGCATCTCCATCCGCATGCTCATCAACCAGCACAGTGGGTGCCGGCTATAGGGGGCTGCAGGGGCTGCAGGGGGGGGTACAGGGGGTGCAG